AAGCAGTCCCCCTTTTCAGACACAACAGCATCCTTTCAATCTAGACTGAAAGTTCAAGATTAAAACCTTTCAGAATTGGCCAATATCTTTTCTTTTTTTTTTTTTTTTTTGAGTAAAGCTTCCATGAAAGCTGCAGTTTTTCAGTAATTCAGCCAAAGGAAGGATAACCTATTTCTTATCTCTAATTTTAAGTGAAAGCAGTAGTAGTAGTAGTAGTAGAAAGAGAGGCAGTGAAAAGTAAACCTTAACCATAAAAGTGCATTTAAAGCAAATGCAAATGCTGTTCACAGCTATTCTCCATATTTAAACTTAAAAATATTGTGACGGTGAATGTATCAGTGCTTTTTTGTTTTCTACCTGCCTCAAGAAGCTCAATACTGCTCCTTCAAAATAAGAAACCCAGCCCTTCTTAGCCATGAAACTGAACCACTCTCATAATGATGGTTTCAGTTTTCCTACTTGTACGTAAAACAACTGACAAAAAAAAGTGACCGCTTCTTTGTGCCATCCCTTTCCATGTTTTAATTTTCAGTATAATTGCAGTTTTTTCTCCTTTGGCTTGCAGCACTGCATAATCTTAAATTAGTCTGACACACAAGGACAGAAAGTGCAAGGCAACCCAAGGGGAAGAAACAAATCGGAATCCTTCTCCTAGGGCATGCTGGGACACCAGGGCTCTAACCAGCTCCTTTCCCCCCTGAGTGCTTGCTTCATACTACAGTAGCTTAGTGATACAGAAAGCAGAAAGACAATGAAATTCTTGCCCCAGAGGGGTAAAAAGTCTAATCTAGGCTTATTAGGATGTTTCCAGCCCTATGCTGCTTCCTTTTTCTCTCTTCCTTTCTTAAATGAAGTCTACAGGCTTTCCTCAGAGGCATCCAAAGGAAGAAGCATATTAACAGAGCAGCTTTGCGCCTTGTTTCCCTCTGTCCTTCTCCCTCCAAGTAAAAATTATGCTTACCTTTCACATAAGCTTATGTACTATTGTCATATAAGCTGTTGTACAGATGCTGTAGTAATAGCCGCTTTGGCAATTCCCATAATAAAATATATCATATTGTAAATTCCACCCCAGCAGCTGCCTGTGAGCATAGTATGAATTGCATTGATATTATGAATAAAGTATTTTTGAAAGGCAGTTGCTGTTATGTCTAGGAAGAGGAGATGGATGGGTTGACTGCATGATGTAGATTTTACTTTTTAGAGTCTTAACCTTTGAAGCTCATCACTGCTAAGATAGGAATTGAGTATCACTATATTAAAGGAAGTATAACTTTTTCTATTCATCTAGCCAAATGTACTTTTTAATATTAAGCCTATTCTGCAGTCTCACAAGGGTTAAACTGAAAGGAAGACTTCTAGGGAATGAATACCGGGGCCATGTCTACACGAGACACTGTCTGTGCAGTGGTTACTGCGCAGTCATTTAGTACTTGTGTAAACAAACACTAAATGACTGCCCAGTAACCAGAGTTACTGCACAGTAGCATCGCTGAATGACTGCGCAGTAGCTTGTGACTACTGCAGAGCAGTCACCGGCTACTATGAAGTCAGCGTCTTGTGTAGATGCAGCCTATGTATCAAAAATGCAGTGTCATTTTGATTGTTTGAGGCATGTACTCTGGCTAGCACTTCTGAAGTTAGCATTAAAACCAGTTCTCTGTTGGTTTTGAATTTTTAATAATGGACTGCCAGAAGCCCTTTTATGCCAAGACATAGCAGGGTAATTTGATGACAGGAAGCAAAACCCACCAGGTTACTGTGACACTGACATTTTTGTCCATGGAGCCTTATTGGGGAAGGGGACTGAAGTCTGATACTTCAGTGAAATGAAAAAAACAGACAAACAACAAAAAAACACAAGAAGCCATGGCCAGAGGGGACAAAGGACTGTCAGTCCATGCAGATGCAGTTATTGATATAAGGTTCTGTGAACTCATAGGCTAGGTACAGACATTCAAAAAGCCTGAGGCAGAACCAATCTAAGTGATATGGTTTTCTGTAAACAGTGTAGCTTATATCAGTAGTGAACAGGACATACATTCATCGGGGGGGGGCAGTAAATCTTCGACATTTTAAAACCAGCTTATGTGTGTCAAACTTCTGTTCTATTATGGGTCTAAACCAAATTCTGTTCACTTATACTGGTAAAAGTGTGTGGCCAAACTGTGGCAGGTATATGGCATGGGCAGCCTCTGCATGTGACACATGGCAGATCAGGGAGGCCTAGTGGCAGGTAGAGCATGAAGCAGAAACCAGACCAGGAAGGGACCACCGGGCAGGCAGAAGCAAGCAGGGCATCAGATCAGGCAGGGGAAAGGGAACTGAGAGGGTGCAGGGCTCCATTTGTTTTGCGTCTGCCAAAAAAGGTTGGCTTCCACTAGCTTGCAAGGTCATTTTTGCAGGTCATATTTTCCTAAAATGCTTGGTGGCCTCCACATCAGTGACTTAAGTACAGGCTTGTTTGTAATGCTAGCCGGGAAGATCTTTCAATATGAGGTCTTTCTGGGATAGTTTAACAACAAAATTAAGCTGTGGCAGCTGCAGTCAGTCAGGCTTTATTTGCAAAGTCTGTGGAGTACTAAATGGTGACCAGGATGTTTCCTGAGAAACATGTCATATTTCTTAACTTGTTTGTAGTGTTCTGTGAGATTCTATTTTAAAAAGTTTCTGAGCTGGATATTTGCCCAGATTTTTTTTTAATTATTACTATTTTCAGTTGTTTCATTCAGGTGTTTGGCACCCAAAACTGACAAACATATTCATCTAATCATCTAACTACAACGTGTCAAGAAACTATCTTGACATGCAGCATCAGAAAGTAACCAGTGAATTCATTTTTTGTACCCCAACAACTCTCTCTCTCTCGCCCACCCTCACAAAACTATTGGGACAATTATTCAGTATCTTTTTCCAACTAACAAGTGAAGAGTTGGTTTCCTTTGCATGCATTTTGTTTTCTTTTTGGGCAGTATGTGGCTGATCTCTAAAAAGATCCCATTATTTTTATCCTGCATGGGATGTTACACTTATGTGATGGTCATCTACCACTTGCAAAGCTGAAATTCAGGAGAATACTGATGATAAAGCCCTATTCCAGGTACAGGTGAACTTTTAAATCGTAGACACTTCAGGATACCCTCAAGCTGATCTTGGCTGTATGAGTGAAGTAGAGCTCTGTCTCAAGTGAAGGAGAGGCCTGTAAGTGCTCTGTGAATATTTTACATAGCTCCCTCTTACCACAGATCAGTTAGAAGATAGCAGGGTGTTTCCTATAAAATCTGTACATGGCCAATATTAGTATGGACCATGATAGAACAAAAATTAACAGTTAACATGTTCTAAGATGTATGAACTCTACTGTATTGTTGCTGCTTTTATGGTGTGTCATCATTATATATCTGCATATCTGTAATATGGCAGAAGTTCACCAGGACAGCTGTATTTGTTCAAACCAATTTTGAGAGACTTGTATTTCTCAGAGAGAGGAGTATCAGTTGAACAGGAGAATTTGGTGCTTGTTATCTGTGGATCTTTTTCTCACATGGACCATGTCACACATTGCAGTTAGGATGTGTTTATGTCATTTTAGACATGAGTGTTAGCATGTCCAAACAGAAAAACACGTACTAGGTATGATTGTATTATAGCAAAAACAGGAGTTTTGCAGGAGAAGCATCTCCAGATCATATTAAGTATCATGTTCAGCTGTCGTGGGACTGCTCCGTGAGATAATATGAGCACAGCTTTCTGATTTTCAGTCCAGCTTGTCTTGAACTGGTTCTGGTGTGGCGTCGGGGCTGAGACCATCAGTCAGCAAGTTGTGCATAAGAGATCACGTCAGAGGTCACAGCAAGCATTACCGTGCGACTACTCAAAACAAGTTTGAACTTTTAATATGGCACAGTAACACTTACTACAATCTAAATAAAACGTGTGCTAAGTGTCCAGCAGAACAATGCCCCTAGACAGCAAGGTCTTTTTACCAGAAAGAAGTCAATGGTGTTACTTTCCTGCATGGGGATTTTATAAACTACTTATTTACTTACTTCCTCATATCTATGACATTTTATTTAAGGCCTTTTCTCTCTGCTGCAAGTGTTGCAGAGTTGATATAAAATGCAACAAGAGGGAATTAGGGGGAGCATGCCAATGTTAATGAAACAACACCACCTGGAGTATGTCAGATGCAGCTCATACAGGCTCAAGCACCATTCCTAGAGGACTGTGTTAATGCAAAAAGTCATTGTTGTAGTGCACATGGTGAAGTCCCTGATATTCTTTCAGCATCAGAATGAGCTCGTTGAGCCTGGCTTCTCTCTCAGAAACAGAAAAGATCTTTCATCTTATTTCAGGGTATTTATTTTTGGCCAAAAGAAGGTGGGGATGGAACATTGGTTGACATCATTTTGCTTCTGTAAACAAACCTTTGCCAGAGGGGTCTGGGACAGAAGTTTCCTAAACCGGTTTGACCAAAATCAGTTAAGTCTGATATTACATTCAATCAGGTTTATCTTAAAACAGCTTCAGCTGTTTTGAAATTGGTTTATCTACACTGAACTTCTGTTCTGTTACAGATTTAAACCAGTTTCTGATCACTTAAACTGGCTTATGTGTAACTTCTGCCCCTAGCCAGAGAAAGAAGGTTAGCCTCTTTCAATACAACACAGACAGGATTTCAGAAGTTGACACCCAGCATGTGTGTGTGTGGGGGGGGGGAGTAAGCCTTTAATGATGCAGAGCAGAAACTACTTTTTTAATGCTGTTTTGTGATCCAAACAAATAGATTATGAATCAAAGTTTACATACAAAGGATTTCATTGTACTAAGAATTTATCATCATCAACTCCCTTATTAGGAGAAAAGTATATATTTTATAGATGATAATCATCCACAAAAATACAATGTATATATAAACAGATGCCAAGGCAATATCCCAGACAAAATGCTAAAATGAATCTGGTGCCTTGGGATTTCAAACTGCTGCTCTTGTTTTGCAGCTTGCCGACCTGGATTCTACAAAGCCTTTGCTGGCAATGTGAAGTGTGCTAAATGCCCACCTCACAGCTCCACCTATGAAGAAGGGTCTCTGAACTGCAGGTGTGAAAAGAACTACTTCCGCTCTGAGAAGGACCCTCCATCCATGGCTTGCACCAGTGAGTAGAATTCTTATGCTTAAGGCTGATTGTTTTTAGTCCTCTGCCTGGTTTATGTTCTTTAGCTGTGAACAGAGCTTTTTTCCCTGATAGCACCTTGCTTTTCACATGCAGAATACATTCCACTCCAACCCTTCTCCCCAGTGGCGATGTGTAAGGGGTGTACATGCACCCCCTGAGAGTGCCTGTGCACCCCCTGACTGGCCGTGCTTGCTACTCAGGCAACAGGCAGGAGCACCAGTGCCCCGCCTGTGAGCACTGGCTGGGGAGTGGGAGCACTGTCAGTGAGATTGGCTATGGGGGACTTCCCCTCCCCCCCCACCCACTGGTCACTGACTGGTCACGGGGGGGGCACTTGCCCCCCCCGACTAAGGTGGCACCAGTTCCGCACGCTTCCCCCTCCCAACCTCTCATGTTAAGCTTTTGACAACCTATAAGGCTTCTCAAGTTAGGTTTCTGTATTCTTGTTTTTAGTTCCTCCCTACTGTTTTCTGTAAGATTTCAGAGGGGAAAGGGAGTGGACCTTTTAAATGAATACCACTATTTTCAGAATAATGTGTCTGTAATAAAGCAATAAATTCTTACGTGTGTTTCAGAAAGCATCTCCAGTCTTGACTTGTATCTTGGAGGCCATTACCAACTCTAGGCACACTCCCTGACTTTGTTTGCAATACAGTGGAATGTCCCAGAAGGCCCAAAAGGCAGATAAAAAAAAGTATAGTGAAAGAGCACCAGATGAAACAAACATCCTGTTAATCTATTTTTTTATTTACCTTTATAGGACCTCCATCTGCACCAAGAAATGTTATCTCTAATATCAATGAAACATCAGTTATCCTTGACTGGAGTTGGCCCCTTGACACAGGTGGCCGGAAAGATGTCACCTTCAACATCATTTGCAAAAAATGTGGGGGAACTGTCAATCTCTGTGAGCCATGTAGTGGTAATGTGCGGTTTTTGCCCCGTCAAATTGGTCTCACCAACACCACCGTGACAGTAGTAGACCTTCTGGCGCACACCAACTACACATTTGAGATCGATGCAGTCAATGGGGTATCTGACCTGAGTGCACTCTCAAGGCAATTTGCAGCAGTTAGCATTACAACTAATCAAGCTGGTAAGTGTCATTGTACTCATTTTCTTCTCTGTTACGGAGATTGCTAAGATTTGGTTTCCCTGTCCCCTTTTTCCTGTTTCACCTGTGTGAGTGTTTATGTGCCAGTGTATCTCACTGAGTCCAGTGCTTCTTAGTAAACTAGGAAAAAGAGAAACAGAACCAAAGTGTGTTTCTGTGAAGGGGTCTGGCAGACTTACTGTTATGATTAACTTCCAGTCTCTAGTCAATAGTCTCTAATAACACCCTGGTATGATGCCATAGCTAGAATGTGTTTTATTAATAAAACCATATTTTAATAAAACACTCATTTCAATAATCTCCAACATAAATTACTATAGTAATCCTAGTGATTAATTTTGATTAAATAGAAGTGAAAAAATGCTTTGAAGTTGGGTACATAAAAAGCTAACATTAAATTATAGAGATTTAAAGCACTGTGCGTTTTTTTTCTTAGCACATTTCCTTTTCCCTCCAAGTCCAGATTGTTGCCAACTACATAGGGATGTGGACCAGAATATGGAATTACGCCCTGATCCTGTAACTGACAGCATGGAGGGGGACATTCTTTATTTGCCCTAGGAAAGGCATTGAGAGTATGTATGAGCCACAGCAGTCTGTCTTCTGGGACTGCAACAGAGATCAAGGCTGCCCCAGTTCTACCATTTGCTTTTCATTTGCCAAAGTTTCATTTGTATGATCGGTCCAAAGGATTTCTATGGAGCATCCAAGACTGAGGTAACATTTGCCAACAAAGGGCCAACTAGATCCCCAACCATCTGTAGTTCTTTTTTGTGTAATGCACCAGTCTATAGTTTTCTTGCTGAAAGCACATACTTTTGTGGTATGTTTGCTCTCTCCTCCTCTCCTCCCACCCATCACAAAAATAGAATTATTTTGCTGTCTTCCTCAAAATGCAGACCAAGAAATGAACGTGCTCCTGGCTAAGTTACTCTGTTGCAGTATCTAAGGCATCTGCTTTTAGGAAGTTGGGTGGGCTTATGACAGTTGCTCTACTGGGACAGACCCAAGCTGGCATACAACTCAGCATTCTTTGGGGCTGCACTAACTTGCATTAAGGGCCAGTGTGGCACTGTGCTGCATCTAAAATTCATGAAATAAGATACAAAAGTATCTCAAAGCCACCTTTGGGTTCCTTTCCCTCCTTATGTCGTGTTTTTTGAGGGTCACGGCATAGGATCCGAAAAGTAAACAGAATCTGTCCCAAAGAATCTTTGTAGGGGGTGTAGACCATGCATTTGCTACAGAATAGGGGTGTTGCATGGCACCTCTCATGGGCTGGAACTGGCTTGGACCACAAGATAGCAGTGGCAGTGGGGCAAGTGATGGCAGGCCAGAGAGTGGTTGCCACAGTGGAGGTGCATAAGCAGTGGTGAGCCATGTGGCTGCAGGTTGATCAAGGGCTATATTTGCACAGCCTTCACTTATGTACCTGCTACCAATATCCACGTCTACCAGGCCCCTGGATTCTGTGGCAGGCCATGCCCCAAGTTTCCTGTTAGGCTAGAAGGGACCATATGTTTTACACCTCTGCTGTAGAAGATTGTCTTAAGAATCCTCCTAGGTTTTTATATTCTGGATTCTGAAAGAGAACTGAGCTAAACCTTTCAGTTTTCTTCATGAAATCTTTTCCCCATTGTTTTTCAAGCTCATTTACAAATATGGTAAGTACATAAATTTTCCTCTTTCCCACAGAGCCCCTCTTATCTCCCATTCCCCACCCCCCTCCAAGCCTAGGAGACTAGTAGGGGAGCCACAGGGGGGGCACGTGCCCTCCCTGAGATTGGCCACTGCTGCCACCGCCAGCTTCTGTGGGCAGTCGCCACGCACCACCCTGATGCTGACACCGCCAACACTGCTGCCCACAAACTGTGCCCCCTGCCAGGCTCAGGAGGCACCAGTCACCCATGCCTGAGAGAACTGTAGACACTCCAGCCAGCCAGTTGTTCTGCAGACTTATTCCAGGTGATGATTTTCACCTGTAACAACTACCTGTTATTTTTCCAGAGGGGAACATTTCTGAAAGCACAGAGACAAAACTGCAAAATGTTTCATTTTCCTCAGTGGTGAAAGTGTGATTTCATGGCAGTTCTTCCAGTGGTGTGAACCACAGACTGCACATCTTCACTTCAGGCAAATACAGCACAGAGAAGTATCTGTATGAATTATAATTCCAGTGTTTCCAAAAAATCCAAAAGCCACCCAGAAAGTGAGCAAATGTTTCTCTACACAATATTTGCCACTGTTTATGTGGACATTTTTTGTCTTTGACTCCATTAGCAACCTAATAGATCATACACAGAAGTGATTTTTGGTAATGTTGGATTTAAGAGCTTGCTAGGCTATTTTAAAATAAATGGAGGCGTGATGCTTTGGCAAGTCAGTCAGTTATAAAGAGCAACACTTTTTATTGCATGTATATATAAATTACAAAGAATCATGTCAAATGCTGCTGAGAAATCAGCTGATGCCTGTAAAATGACTACAGAATTTTCCATCTAAGACTCATTGAAATGCATGATACTATGTAAGTAAAAAAGACAGTAAAAAAATCAGCAGATGTTTTCCATTCTTGAAAAGGAGGTATCCTTTATTATCTCACATAAGCTCTGACACTGTTCTGATCTCTCACTGGTGTCAATCCAGCAGTGATTCCTGGAAAGACAGTGGAGTTACAGAGTGTGTGGTGAGGAAAGAGGACCCAGCTCCTTGGCTTCCTGAAATACCAGCATGTTATGATAGTAGGTGTTAATGTAGCCTTTCATCCTTCCAAGATGAAACTTGTACCAGTTACATTCCTTGTGTTGGGCAGAAGGCAGGACAGTGTGGCACCAGAGTGTCATAAACTTTTGTAGATGGCAATCTACTTCACCAGATGCCATTAAACTGATGTAATATTTTAAAAGATCCCCTTTCACAGCTACTGAATGATATATACCTTAGATATAGGAACACCTTCCCTGTATTATATGCCATTTCTAAGATCCTTTGAACTGGAAACATTTTGGGATGGATTGGTGCTTTACGAATGTAAGAGACTGATTCTGATTCTCCTTTACCAATGGCAATGTAGTTTTCTTGGTGTAAAGTGTGTGTGGGTGAAATCAAGCCCATTACTTTATTGTATGGTTCATGGCATTGAGTGACTGCTTGTTACTTCAACTCCCCAGTGATTGGTAAGGGAGACTGGGAACAATGTCCTCCCTCATGTGAGTTTTACTTGGCTTTTGTTGCTTTTTGTTTCCTTTCGGTGAAGGTTAATGAAGCCCTGAAAAGCGAGCTCTCTGTCAAGATACAGCTCAGACTGATATGACATTGCAATATTTATAATTCCTTTAAGCCTTTCTGTCTTTGGCATGGAAATAATAATGGAAAGTTTAGCTTATAGAGTTAGGTTTGTCGATTATCCTCTTGATTTCATTGTAATATGCTATAAGATGCCCACATGATACGGCACCCTCTGAATTGTGCTTTATTACATTATAGACTGGAGCAGTGAGTCTCTGCCTATTGCATATGCTGAAGGGAAGAACTCTTTCTCCTGCTTCACATCAATATGTTTTCACACAGATGTTATCTCCTAATAACACCAATCAACCCTGCTTAGGAAGGGTCACTGGCTGCGTTAGGAGATTATATGGTATTCGGTGTCCCTGAGGGTGGGGTGCTAATTATGAATGTGTCATGCAGAGAGACTGACAGCTGTGCCACATTGCCTGGCCTATCTGCAGAATTATCAGGCCCATGTGCAGATTTGCTGGCTTTGTGAATGTCCTGGTCACAGTTTCATTCTTCTGCAATTGATTTCCTTCTTTTGTTTCTTTTTTATGTTGGAGGATCCACAGATCCAGGGGCAGATCGAGAGGGGCTGCAGTGGTGCAGTTGTACCTCCCTTTGATTCCTGCTCCATGCAAACTTTTAAACCAACTGCCTGGGAGTGGCTGTGGCATTTCTATTCATACAGTGCTGAGGGAGTCAATTGACTTCATGTCCCATTGTAATCTACCTGATTCCTGCTAGTCTATCTCAATTCCACAGGTGTTAACAACTAGGGCTGTGCAAAGCTTCGACTTAAAATTCGATTCAACAAATATTCGACATATTCAACCTTGAAAAGTGAAAGTTGAGTCTAATAGCTGTCGAATTGAATACCAGAAGTCAAATATTAACAGTGCCAGTCAAATATTAACAGCGCGGGTCAAATATTCGACAAGGGTCGAATATTCGACTTGCCTATACTGGATTTCCTGTGGGGGAGGGAAAAAATGAAAAGTGAGGGGGGTGAGGGGGAAGGAGTGCTTTCATGACTGACATGTGTGGCTGGCCAGTGACCTGTCAGCATTCTCTGAGGTCCCTTCCAATCCCTGTGCTCTGCAGGAGGGTCAGAGAAAATGCATGAAAGGCAGCAGTTTTTCAGCTCCCTGATTTCTGCCTTGGGGTCAGTTTCTGAGCTGCTGGTGTTCGCCAGCACCGCTGCGTCAGACCACGATGGCTGGAAGCCCTGATCTTTGACAGATTCCCCGCTTGCAACACTAGCAACAGGGATTTCTGAGAACTTGGTGCTTTTATTTTAGAACTGCTTTTCATATTAGTTTACGCTTATATTGGATGGGGTTAGTAGTAGCCTAGGATCTATTCTATATATAGGAATTTAGTTTATATATATATATTTTTATACATCATTCATTCTTTCCACCACACCAAAGCTTCTCAATATATTATCCACACACACAAACACATTTACATAACATCCAGAAATCTAATCCGTGGTGCACAGCACACTTAGAGGTTCCAGTTTACATACGAAGAAACACATTATGAAGTGGGGTGGAAAGACAGGTGGCCACACTGGCCAGCCTGCACGAAGGGGAGCAAGGGGGGTTGGAAACGGGAGAGCTGCAGTTTCTCCCCCTACCAAACTCAGACGTAGCCTCTTACCTCCCGCTACAAGGGATGAGGCAGCACAGCAGCGCATTCCACCC